ACCCTATAAATAAAGATGATCATAATGTTTGAGGTAATTGAATTATCAGAAGCAATAACAATTCTGGCAATTCCTAAGTTTTATAGGCTTGACTCTGCAATCTGAATGTTCTCTAATGCTCCTCACAATTGAAATGCTGTTTTGATATAAAAAGTTTACTAATGAAAAGGCATTTTGTGACCACAGACTTGAACCATCACTAGAATAGAGATTTTTTTGTACTATTCTTACTGCTGAGTAACTGACTGCCAAAGGCAATTGCTATCTTCCAGGTGAATATGCCACTACAGTGTGAGGGAGAAATCACACATAACCAAGTGGTTCACAGCCAATTGCCAAACAGAAGAAAGAAAAAGAAAGAAAAAAAGAGAAAACAAAAAGAGAAGTTTTGTTCAATCCTGCATGACTTCCTTCCTTTTCCCACATTCTATTCCTACTTTCTACCCCTCCATCCTTATCACCAATCCCACATCGGGATCCCTCCTTTCAAACATTATCCCTGTCATTCAGAGACTAACAATTCAGGAGAAAGGCAGGAAGGCCATTCTTGGCCATGGTGCCTGGTGCCAAGTACTTGGCCTGATTTGTAATTTTCATAGGTTGGCTAAAGACAAATATTATTCAAGTGCTGAATATAAAATTTCCATTCTAAAGCCTATCAAAATTAGACCTTCTCAGCAAATTAATGAAAAATACTTTAAAGCTCGGTAAAACTACAGTTCTCTACTATATCTGTCTGAGGAACTGCTCAATTGTTTTAACTGTGACTTCTGAAAAAGCCTTTTACTTGGGCATGCACTTGTTGGGTTTTCATTTGTAAGTCCCCAAAAGCTGGAGGCTGTAACTACGGACATTTTCTGTCAGATCTAGAATAAAGAGACCTTTCTATGTTCACATCATCTGCTAACAGTCTAGACCCTCTTCAGCATGACATGGACTGGCCTCACTGCCAAAAGAAGAGATCCTTCCTTCTCTACATGACCAGACTCTCACTTCTGTCCCCTGCCTGAGGCTGGCACAAGAGTGCCTATAAAATTAACTGGATTAGGGCATGACCTTGACTAAGACTAACAATTTTTAGCTCTACCAGTTCCCTTATGCAGATCACAGTGTGGCCTCAGATGTATCTGTGCTGGAACAACATTTAAGGGATGAGAAAAGACTGCTGGTGACAGGCAGGACAGTTCTCAGTGGCAGCACCCGTCATAAACTGTAGCATGAGCATTTTGGTGTATACTATGTTCTACATCTAATCACGCTGCAAGCTCCTTAAATGCAAAAGACCTCCTCTTCCTCTTTGTCTTCAGCATGACTCGTACCGTTGGTGTTAAAATCTACAGTACTTTTCCAGCATTATATAGCACTTCTCCAGCTAAAGGATGCTGAAGGTTTTTACAAGTATTGCTAAATTCTCAAAACTCAGATGGGGAAAGGAAGCACCACGCCAAATGTATACATAGGGGAAACCGAATCACAAAAAAAGGGATGTGACTGCACAACCTTATACAGCAATTTTATGCGAATATATTAACAGAATGCTACCTTCCAGCTCATGATGGCAATGGGAAAACATTCCTCTCTTTACGATTAGCAAGTAAGAATTATAACATGTAATGAGAGAAGAACAGATCTCATATGTACGCCCTTCCCAATATTTTGCTGTCTCTGAAGGTTCAGATTTCGTTTAATAAACTATTTTTAGTTCAAAAAATACTTTTATGAGCACTGTGAAATAGATTTTCTGCTTTTATATGTATTTTATTTTATATGTGATTCAACACCAAATATTTCTGAAAAGTCTACCAAATTAGCCCAACTGATAGCCAATATGCATTGAATGGGAATTCGGTATAAAATTCTTTCAAAAAATTAAACCCACAAAAACGTGAGTGCTGTTGCATATGTATGAACTAAACAAATTGTCTGGAAACATGTTCAAGGAGATTTATTGATGATTCTAAAGGGGAAAGTTTGAAAGAGTCCTAGTGTGCTATATCATAATATGCTCGGGTAAGAGAGCATGTTAATTACTTGCTGCGTAATCTTCCACTGTCTCCTTCAAAAATACTTCTATTTTCGTGAATCAATGAATATTAAAGTGATCCAGAACATAGGCCTAAATATTACCCAAATTCAGAAATTTGGGGCATTCAGAACTAGATTTGAATGCTACAGAAACTCACTATTCTCTGTTTAGCTTGCTGCCACCAGGCACTGCATTAAACAGGGAAACAACTCATTATACTGTTTTGAGAGGTCTTACACGGTGGGGAAAGACTCAGCAGTATACACACACAAGTGTGAGATGAAAAAGACCCCCCCCCCCATTTATCCAGTCCTTCTCTTGGGGCCAGTGTAAAAAATGTGCTCTCCAGCATGTTTGCTAGTGATCTGTACAGCTTATTTTAAAAGTCCCCAGAGAGGAAGCTGCCCCACCTTCTCCCTGAGGGGCTTTTTCACAGCCCCATTCATTTGACTGTCAGGAAAGGGGTTTTACAGTCAAGTGCTATTCTGCCCTCAAATGTGACTATATAGAAGAGAGCCTTTTAATTTCACATACATATTCCCTGGGCATCAGAATTGCATCTATTTATTTCCGTGACTCAGACACACTTGTACTATTTCTATTCCTGTTGCCTCTGCAGAACACAGTTCAGAGGCAAGACGTTGGCTTCTATTCCCTACTGCATGTGGCCAGTAGAGTTGGTCTCTCAGTCTACGTGCTGACAGTGCTGCAACTCCAGAGATGAAAATAAAGTGGTCCAACTCTTCCTTAAAGCCCGTGTCGAATGGTTTGGGCCTCAATTATGTGTGATACTAGGTTAAAAAGAAAATAAAAAGGAGAGGGAGCACGGGAAAGAGATTGCTCTGACTCAGACTGCAGAAGGAGTCTGCAGCACTGGTAGGAAGAAATAAGCAAGCACATTTTTATTTTTAAACTGTGCCCAGTAAGTACTAGCCATTAGAACGCACGCCCTTTACTGGAATTACACTACAACTCTTGAGAATCTTCGTGCAATGAAGTGTTTCACCCAGACTGCACAGTCCCAGTACGCTTTCAGACAAAGCACAGCGTACAGTCCCTTCGTTATGCCATTCTGGACCTACAGAGGACTCAGTCAAATTCTTCACAGGCTACTTATCTCCTCAAGTTTATGCACGACTTTTAAATTTTTCATAGTGTTTTTGCAAGAAACAGAAACAGTGACGTTAACTGCGTAGTTTTCGGAGACTTAAAATGGTTGTGCTTTGAGTAGCAAACCTTATCTCTGAATTAACTTAAAATAAGGACACCTGTTTCTTCATAAAATGTAACAAAGGGACTGGATTTCACTCAAGAGAGGTTTTGCCATCTGACCACAGGGGTGTGTACGCCAGAACTGCCGCAACCGATGCTGTGAATGCTGCTCCTGGCTGCCCTGGGTGATCCAAGCCATCTCCCTCCTTCTCTTATTACAGAAACACCCCAACTTTTTGTTATTATGGTCTGTAAGTAACACTTTTCAGTCTCCCCTTCCCCCTTTTTCATGGATGACGGATTCAATTCAGGCAAGATCTCAGACACGGCACAAAAGAAATGAGCTCATCTAGTATGCCTGGTGCTTCCCAGTGTTTGAATCCACTGGAGGAGTTATAAATAAAATCGCCACAGGATAAGAACATAGGTGCAGGAGGAAAAAGGAAGGGTGTTAAAAGAATGCCGGACCGTCTCAGTGCACTGAATCAGGACAAATGATGAGACTAAAGGAACAAAATCTACCACGACCTTCTTGGCGGCTGTTTGTGCGTATCTTTCTAAAAGTAACCCCCTCCCCAAGAGTTACTTACGTCTGTGGAGCTGGGGCTAGGCAGGGACACAGGCTGAACAGCTGCGGGAAAAGTAAATGTGGTCTCTGTCTTTTCATTTTCGGGGGAGTCAGGATAACTGGACAGAGGGGACGTGGGGGTCAAAGCCCCGAACCCCAGCACCGTGTTGTATTTAGGTGGACGACCTACATGTTAACAACAGGGAACACAAAAAAAAAGAAAAAAAAAAAAAAAAGGAAAAATGATCTTACATACCTTTGGCCAGTGGTCCTCATTGGCTAGCATGAAAAAGGAAATGATGTAGCACAGAGAGGAAGTTAATATAAAAGTTACAAGTGGAAAGACAGAAGCAAAGATTTAAACATTTTTTAGAAATCTTTAAGTAGAATTTTGCTAGGAAGGAACATTTAAAAGACGTATTTCAGAAGGAAACAGAAATAAGCTCAGTGGAGGGGCAAAGAATCACTCCCACAAAAGCAGCGTGGGGACACTTGCCACTCCTAGAAATGAGGCTATTCAGTTTTTAGGAAAAACATGTTGGCCTCAAAGCTAGAGAGAACCTACAATAACTACTATTAAATCCTTTCTACTGTTATCCCACCCCTCCCTATCTTTCTAGTGCCAGCATAAATCTACACAAAGGTTAAGTCCTTTATCAGAGGCCAACACTCACCAATCCTCTCCTTTTCGTCCCTTTTTTAAACCCACTCACCCACAGATCAGCACCTTCTACCCTACTGGTACATTTTTTAAATTAGGCTGCCTCCAGAACAGGTCCTGTTGCCTGACCCCTAACAACTGCACTACCGGTTGTAGCCTACCACTGGTATTCCACTGTAATCTCTTTCTTCAGCTTTCTCAGTCAAGTGTATGTTTGATTAGGCACAACTCCTGTACGCTCCTTTAGACCAGCAGAAGTGCAAATGAGTTTGTAACAATTTTCATCGTCATGTGTGCAAAGCACAACAGCAAACAAACCAGCATGTAACCATCATTTCTACCTTCCTTCTCCAGGGTAATTTATGGATATGTAAACAGAAAGGAGTTGGGATCTAAGAATAACTCCCCAGATCTTATGTTTACAGATTGTCTGTCCATACCTATTAACATGCTAAACCTTGCATTTAAGGTCTGGATATGTTCCAGAACTAAGTATGTCCTTGGAAACAGATTTCTGATAGTGATGCCTATGGCTGAAATTGCTAACATGCTCAGCACCATCTAGAATTAAACTAAAGCTCTCAAGGGCACACGCTTGCATAAGCTCTTCACCTAATATACTGCGATACTAAATCACAAAACAAATGTACACATCCAAATCTTTTGTCAATTGAAAATGAGCGTTACTAATTTGGTGCTGATGCAAGGTACAGGCTCACAACAGGGTGTGAGGAACAAAAAAAGGAAGTATAATAGCAGTCAGTGTGCAAAAACAGGCTAAGGGAGTATCAAGTACAAACCCATGCAATCATTTTCATTGATACAGTAATTGTTCACAGTGAGTTATAAAACAGAATTAAGAAATCATTACTAGAAGAAGGAACATTTATTTATCCACAGAGTAAATGCAAAATACTCTCTTTCTAAAATCCACATCATACAGTTTACAAAAAGACATCTAACGTTACTAGAGGATGGCAGTAGGGATTGAGGTTTTTCTTTTAGAAACAGCACAGCTGCAGAAGTGTCAGATTTGCCACACTGCCTGATGGACTGAAGGAGTGTAGCAACGAGAGCGCATGTCAAATGAATATTTGACCTTGCAGCCAAAACCCAAAGATAACAGAACTGCTCAGTGCTAGGTAGGACTGTTTCGGGTTTTTTCTAATCTCATTGATTACTTCTTTTCAGACAGCAAACTCAGGAGTGGAGAAGGTATTACGAGTCTTTAAGGACTGCAGAAAACCACCAAAAATCAAGGAAAGATTGACATAAATGTGGTTGGTGCCATGCACAAAAAATAGTATCACGTTCTCTCCTATGCTGTTCTGACTCATCTGTTTCATCACACTCTAAGTCTTAAAATTTCACCTGTTCTACAGAAGGATTTCTACTGAATTATATCGCATATCTCTATGAAAGATCACCTCTCATTTTAGGACAAGTAGCACTCTGGTTGCAGGAAAGCGCTCAGTACGAGCACGATAGTCTTTCCTGTTCAAGATAAATTCTTTTGAAGGACCCACCTCTACCCCAAACAGGGAACAAGGCTTTTGTCACACTAAGTTCCTCCACTGTTCAGGGCACAGACACTTTTTCCATAACCACCTTCCTCTTGACAGCAACAATGCAATTTAGTGATTAGCAAGAGGATCTTGACAGAAGCTTTATATCACTAAATGATGATCAAACACCTCACCTTTCACTCTGCTGTGTCTATTGGGTTTGGAGTATTTTTGAGAGTGAAACTGAAATGAAACACTGAGCTGCCTAATAAAACCTGCTATGCTAATCCATGCAAGTCATGATCTTTGTCTACCATGGAAATTTACTGAACAAATGAAGTGCTGTAGAGTCCTTCTTTGTTTTGCTCTTCAGATTAACAAAGGGACTGCTAATGCAGGATGGAGGAAGAGGCATAGAGCAGGGAGACAGGTCTAAGTATACCTCACCTCTTTTACGTGTCCCGGGATGCATTGTGCTGTTCAGGTACGTGACTGCATTCTTCTTCCGCTGCAGGGAAGAGTAAAACAATTTTTGTTGGCTAAAATTCTTGGGAACAACGATACGCAATGGCTGAGGAACAGCTCAGCAGTACTAGGTGAGATCACTGGCTGTTCTGCTTTCTACAGCTTCAGAAAGGTTAGCTTTTTTACACTCCTTCAGACATCTGAACTGCTTCAGGCTGATACACAAACTGACCCAAGCATAAGACTAACACGCTGCCATTTAACGTCAGCTTTACATCGAGGGCAGCAGAAAAAGTTGTGTTAGAAGAACACCCCAATGTATCTACTATTTAAAAATCTGAGGATCATATCATTGCAATGGCTTTTTGAATTATAAATGATCGCTTGCCTGTCTAGTTAGAACTAGAGGAGCTTAGGAGGCAGCAAGGTGGCAGAAAGACACACAAGCTCAGAATGAAAATACCAGCTTTCCCCAGAAAAAACGTTAATACCTCTGGCTCAAAAACGGCTCCACTGTACACTGGATTTGCCGTCGTTCTTCTTTTCCTCTCTTGTCGCTTGCTTTGGATTTCTTGTAAAACAAAGCATTCAGGTTAGAAAACGACGTGTCTCCGACATTATATCAAGTCCTCGGAACTCAGTTTCTGCGTGAGGGGAGCTGTGGAGATTTCTACAGAACACCACTCAGGCTGAATGCAGGCAACTTTGTTATACTTGTAATTTCTGAAGGTTTGAAAACCAAGAGCTGACAAGGAACGCAAATACAGTGCTCAACTAACTGATGACATGACTGCCATCTTCTCACCAAGTACTCCACGACTAAGACTACTCTGGTAACCTTCTTGGTACTTAAAAATAAATGCAGTACAGAAAGATGCAAGCCATTGAAATGCTAGGGTGTATTTCACTGTATGGGATTGAGGAGTTATAAAACCAACTATAATCTAGTAACTCATTCACTACAGATTATAGTCCAATGAAAACATGAAACAAACAAAAAATCCAGATGTGAGTTACAGCAGAATTATCCATGGTATAACTTTGTGCATACAGGGGTTGTCCAGAAAGCAATGGGATTGTCACAAATGTCCTTCCTACTATCACAGCATATGCTTCCTTCCCAGCCACTGATCTCAGCTCATCTCGGCTTTGTTTCAATGCAGTGAGAGGAATAAAAAAGTATGCACAACACACCAGGTCAGACCGAGAGTACAGACATCCCAAATGCACTTTTGTGCAGGAAAGTACTGCATTTAATTCAGAAATATTTTGGACCTATACTTTCAGTTCAGAATGGCCATGAAACAGGGAGAACCAACTTAAGACACTTTTCCTACCTTCCAGATGGTCATGAGTAACTAGTCCTAAGGACACCATGAAGGCAAGTTTCTGTGAAGGAGAAAAAAAAGATTGTAAGTCCAGCTGTTAGGATGAGATGAGTCACTTAGGCCCTTTAAAGTCAGTTGACAGTTAACTAAGCAATAAAAATTTATTAGTAATACTTTGCTTCTGTAAATCACTTTTCATTCATATATGTCAAACTGCTTTGCAGAGGACAGACAACAGACCCATGTTCTAGATGGAAGCCTAGGCAGAGATACAGGGAAATCCCAATTGCTCACGATCACAGAGTTGGCAGAGCTGGGAACAAGAAAGCAGTTTCTTCACTTCCAGTCCAGCACTGAACAGACGCTGATGGGCTCTTAGTAAATACCAACACAGTTCATTTGTCAGCAAAATATTGCTAATTGAAGATCATTCTCTGTGTATGGCCAACTACAAGAAGCAACTCTGTTCTACATCTGCCGTTCGAGAAGGTCTGTGGCTTTCTTAAAGGATTCTCATTTTACTGCAGGAAGTGCACAGGTACGTAAAAATCAGAATTTGTACTGACAACAGTTAATGCTCACACAGGAGTAAGTTTGAATCCATCTACAAAAACAAATGTAGTAGAGCATTTTGCTGTAATCAGTTCCAAAGCGGCGGAAAGGCTTTAAGAAACAGCCATTCTTTCCCCCCAAACCAACTGCACCTAAACTGGAATAAAACACGGGCAGAATGTAAACAAACACGACTTTTTCTATTCTGGTCACCAGAGCTGAAATATTTTATAAAGCAAAATAAAGACATTTCTCCAGCATTAAAAATAACTCCAGAAGTCTAAAATCTCAAAGGAATAGAAATCAGCACTGTAATCGAAGCCTGATAGTTGAAGGAAATATCAGAGGGAAATTATGATCTTCTAACTTACAAAAGACTCAGAAGTCAAATGCATTCCAAGACCAAAAAATGCAATGTATGATACTTATTCCATTTCTTATTCTATAGAGTT